TGGGAAAATCTAGACCGCGGTCAATATCGATTTCAGCCAATCAAATTCGTGAATTCGGTAGTTCCCAGTCCTTGTGAGACACAGCCATATAATAATGACGCTTATACATCAGGAACGGAATTGGGAGTTTGCCTCTGAAAAATTTCCGTTGCGTACGAGAGTTATATGCAAGGTAAAGCTAATGGTGAGTTACAATAATCGGAAGACTTAGCTTTCATTTATACGTCAACCATCACAACCAAAAATCCAAGTCCATGGGCTTATATTATAATGGGAGTGGGGAGGGGTGAGAAAGGCATCGATGTGTAGGATTTTTGTGATGTTTGATGATTACACGTTCTATATATCAAATGCGCATTTCTTCGCTTCGCTGAAACAAATTCCAAAAGTAACCACGACCTTTCTACTTTATGTGAAATATTACAGGAAAATCAACGCAAAAGACAGGTTTATAACAATCAGGCTCTTTTAATGCAACATTTGTTCACTCATGACAACTTGATATCGATACAAAACTACTGTCGGTTATCGTGCAGGCGTTATGACGTTTTTTTGGTTTCAGGGTCGGTGGAGAAAGTTACTCTTCCTTGTCTCCAAGTTTCTTCAAGCATTCTCCATACCTCACGAAGCAGCACAGCTTCTCCGCACATGACTCGCTACCCAACAAACAACAAGGAATGATCGGCAGGCATTTTTTCTAAAATGAGACAGCAACAAAAAGGAAAGGAACAGGTTACATTATGCATAAAGTAAATCGCTAGGGCAACAAAACAAAAAATATGAAAAAAAGAAAACAAAAATATTAAAACAGGACGATTCTGCTCTTTGTCTAAATTGAACAGGACTAATGTTTAGAAATCGCAAAAAGTACGGAAGCCAGAGCGAGTAGTGCTCCACTTTTGTGTACTATCATTATTATGACATTTTACGAAACATTACAGTCAAAACTTTTCTCACGCACATCACTCCATCACAGAAAGTCCAAAACCCCCCGGCGAAATCCCAGTACACTTTATTATAATATTAATGATTTTTCAATGAAGCCTCTATAATACGGAAAACAAACACAAATTTTAGTCGTATAGCAAAAACTGCACAAACCTTACGGCTAAACTCTCTATTGTGGACGATAATAATGTATATATGTAAAATGAATTTTCACCTCAATTGTGTAGTGTTGTCTATAAGAAGTCTACTGTAATAGATACAGCCACTTTTTAAAGACTATTTTAGTTTGTAAAGTCGTCTGAACGTCGTCTGGCCTCCCCCTCCCCCTCCCCCCCACTCGAACCTACCCCAAAGCGGTCCGGCTTGTTTGAACCTGCCAGGGGAGTAAGTCCTCTCTGGCAGAGCTCTTAATATCTCGGAGATACACAAGCCCCTGCATCAGGACAGGGTAACAGCCCAGGGAGAATTATGCATAGAACAGTGCTTACCATATTCTCGGGTAGGTCCTCGATCGTCAGACCAGCTTTCTTTAAACACTTGCCAGTTAATTTGATGCACTTCAGATGCTTACAAGCATCGTCTTTAGCTTTCTTGTGACATATGATCGCCAGTCCTATGCAGATTTTCTGTTGAAAAATTCAGAAACAAACCCTTCCGTATGTAACAACTTTCCTTTTTAGTCTTCGCGAGCTTCGATGCGAGAATTTATTTTTCAGTAAGGTTAAATATCAATTCTGATACGAGGGTAATACCTTCTACCAACGAAAAGGAAAACGTTGTGTGAAAGACAAATGGACCGGAAAATGCGGGAGAATAGCACTGCAAATGAAACAATTTAAATAAAATGTTTCCATTTAAGAAATAAAATGGGAGAAAGAGAATCAAAGTTTCGAAAGTGAAAAATTTACACACTTTCGGATTTTTTGCCTTAACCATTGATCATATCAAACGTTTCGTTTTGTCAGATTTTTGACTTTTTTCCTATTATGTTCCGGCTTTATCGGAAAACTAATTTACAGGTTATTACTGGGAGAGGGTAACCCAAAAGCTTTACTTATCTCAAGAAAATTTCAGTTGACTACACTCGACTTTGGGTGGCATTCCCAAAGACAAATATTTTAGGCGACGACAAGGGCGAAAGCTAGCTAGTTCTACCATTTGCTAAAATTATATTGTCTACTTGTAAAAATCTACGACTACTTACGAATTTCGGTGGAATTCCAGTGGGTAGTTTGGGTTTAGGCTCCGCGTCGTTCATTTTGAGAACACCGCGAACCTTGTTTGCCATTTCACGATCTTCCATCTCCAGATAATGCATGATGGCTTGGGGATGGTATTCCAACTCCTGCGCCTGGGTATACGCGGCCACCGCAGCGACAAACAGCAAAGCTAGTATTGTCTTCATGTTGACGCCTCTTATCTGTGCTTTTAGAAAACACGATGTGAAAAGAAATAAGCGCGCTCGTTTATATAGAGCACGGGGAACGCCGGGCACGCCTCGTGACTCCAACCGGAGACAAAAGCTCCCAAGAAGTATTTAAACAGCTTTAAAACTACTTTGCCCACTTTAAGCATGTTTATCGAGAAACCGGTAATAAATATATCTCTTTTGCTATGTTAAAACTGCAATGTCAATATGCTATAGCCCCCAAACAATCTTTTGTTATGTTACCGCATTTTGTTAACATAACTTCGTACGAATATTGCTTTTTTGACTTGTATCATTAACGTGTCGTGAACAAATTAAAAGCTTATTTCACAAATCATGCCTCGGAAATAGAAATTTGGAATTTTTTCTTTATCATTTTTTTTCGTGTCAAATACTACTTTCCACCCTCTTCTTTAAGGAAAAAGAGAAATGTGTTCTCAGAGGTTACGTGTTTTTAAAACTGATCCTCTTTGAAAAAAACTTTCTGTTCTTCACTTGGACTTTATAAAAGAGATTTTGACTCATTTAGCAACCGTGAAGGTGTGATGTAATGGCTTCAAAATTCAAAAATCTATGTCAGATTTAAAAAAAGTTGCCGTAACTGTGGAAAGCTGTAACAACCACAGCAAAAACTTTAGAGGGGGCGATTTAGACATAAGTCAAGCCTTCTTGCAAAAACTGTTTACATAAACAGGGTGGTGAAAATTTCTTATCCAACTTGAATTTTAACTAAAGGAAGATTGAAGATGTTCTGATTATAAAGCATCAATGAGCTATCTACATCTACATCTGCATTTGATTTCGTCGGTAAAGTCGTTAGACATCACACCACAATGAAATAAAGAAAGTGAGGCTTTCACAGAGAGTGTTTTTAATCCTCCATTAGGAACGTTTTACTACATCTCAGTTGTACATCACTCAGTTGAAGGGCAGCGCTCCTCATCTTTCACAAATGGAGTACGAGAAGCATTTATGGGTTTTGATCCTTTTGTTATTAAATTGAGCTTAGGATTTGTTTCCTTCTCTGACAACCCGATTTTAACATTATTTTTTCTATAATTAAACATCATAAGCACGAGAGGTGATATTAACTTCTCAAAAGTTTACTGACAAAAAGATATCTGTCGTTGTGATCTTGTATCAGACATCATATCTTGGAGGACTGATTTTGGATTAGTTAAGAAACTAGGCATTGAAGAATCAGTGTCTGAATTAGAGTAAAAGTTTCAAGAAAAGGGACAAATACCTGAGGTAGAGGTCCCATGATTTTATTTCTAAAAATAAATGTGTTGTATAACTGAGAGTACAATTCAAATTTGGAAGGTTTAGTTGAATTATACTCGAAGTTCCATAACACTACGTATCTACCATAGTTCATTATTACTGTGAAGTTGATAAGGTAAAAATTCATATCCCGAGTTTAATTTTTTAAGACTCTAAGTACCTAAGAAGAACATAATTGAGCTAGTTACCAAAATATTTGCACAAATGTTTGTTCTCCCTCTCTAACTTGTGCCCAACTCAACACAGCTGCGACTTTGCAAGGAAACTAATCTGCATATTTCAACATAAACTGTCCAATACCTCTGATTTTGGAAAGCATAAAAGCCATCTTTACAAAAGAGAATCAACAAAATATTTTGTAAAATTTGGTCAGATCGATCGTTGTTTATTGCACCGCTAGATGTCTTGATATTTATTTACCTAGAGGAAAAGTAGTTTTCCCGTCGTATTTGTTCAACATTTGCCTAAATTTCATTCTCCCTCACTGTCCACTGTCTTTTGTTCTTTGCATCACACTTATTTTAAGTTATCATTAAATTATTGGAAAAGATTGTCCCAATAAGTTTGTTGTTAAATTCAGACTGCAAGTGTAAAGCTAAGAGTGGTCCAGAAATTGCTCACAAAACGACAAACGGTTTTAACTTTCGTTTAAGGTCAATTTTCCTCTGTTTTTAAAAATTACCACATGCTTTCGCGCGTATAATGCACATTTAAGCAACGGTAATGTAAAAATGTATTTTTTGAGCACGTTTTGGATCAGGTCTTTGTCTTGGTTTGCTTTGCTGCCAATTGCAATTACTCACAATTTACTGATAACTAAAAAATGGGCTGAAATTTAAACTGATTGCTGCGAAACAACCAGAAAACTGACTGATAATTGAAATCCCCAGTGCCCCCACCCAGCCCTGCGAAATTCCTTCGAAAATACTATTTCTATACATTTTTTTAAGAATTAGAATTATAAGAGAAAAGTAAAAGGGCTAAAGCATTTAGACCCAAGGCAAATTAAACTGTAAAGACTTGATCTTTTAAGAACAGGGGCCCGTTTCTGGAAGGTCCCGAAAAGTTTTCGCACCCGAAAAGCCGTCGCAAAATCTCAAACCTTGTGACTTCAGAGCTGTTTTATGCACATATTCTCAATAGGAACAGAGGTTCCCTACATACAACAAGTTTCAGGTGTATACACTTCTTTATCTTTAAATACCGATTGACTAAAAATGGCTTTGCGGGCCTGAAAAGTTTCCGGGGCTTTCGAGAAACAGGCCCCAGGACGCCAATGGCTCTAAAAACTTGCTCAGGCTAATTATGTAATAACAGCGTTCACTTTCTAATAAAAATACGACAAATTAACCGTCATCGTTCGCGTTCCTTAGACTACGCAGAACTTGGTCATTTCACGTTCCTGTTTTGTAGAGGACGGCAAAGAAATGTACAAAGATTTATAACGCACGTGCACAGCCATTGTTTTGCTCATTCAACCTTTTGTTTGGTGACGTTCTCGTCACCGTCCTCTTCGTCCCTAATTTATTTCCGTTGAGATGTGGGTAATAATGCTCCTTTCTTCAAAAAAGGCCGATTTTTGCTGCAGTTTTATGACAAATTCGAGAACAGGAAAAACACTGAGAAGAAATGAAGGAGATATACCTTGTTTTTTCTCCACCAAGACCACCAATCAATTTCTCTGCGCGGTCAAGTTTTTTGGTACAAAGGTCAACCTATAAACAAAGGGATAGTACACAATGAAGGAAAAAGAGCGATATAAAATATTGCGTTAACAAAATTCATGATACGCTCGTACTTGTTTTTCAAGATCTGCCTTCTTCTTCACATTAGCTTCGTACTTCTCTTGCAGTCGAGAAAGCTTGTCCTGAACCTCGCGAAGAGCGGAACGCTTCTTATTCAAACTCTGCCAAGAAATGCATCAACAGTTCAGTTATATCTTTATTCTGCGTGGCTTAGCATTGAAAAACGGTGTCAAAACACAGTAAAGTGACGAGCCTTCTCAAAGGAAAGGATGATTCTTTAACTCTTTTCCTAGTTTACAAAATGGAAGCTAGTTTATCAGCGTAAATAAATGTAACATAGTCATATGGAGTAGCTACACCTCTCGGATCGAGTCTTGGTTCATTGAATAATTCTTCAACATTTGTTATGTGTAGAGACTGGTACTCAGAGCATAATGGAAACTCACGATTTTTTGACCTCAAGCTCAACTCAGTTGTAAATCATCGAATACAATAAAGGAGTTCCTCACCTCCATGGCAACAGCCAGCTCTGCTTCAGCTTCTTTGAGAGCCGCCTTCTTAGGAGCCACAACTCGCGCTACCCTGGACACCACAAACAGAAGTCCAGTCAGGACCCTACTGCTGCTATGACGTAGTTATATATTTTCAATCTACTTCCAGTCGCATTAAAGNATGTAAAAATACATAATTTTATTGCTGTAAATAAATATATAATATTCAGAAATATAGAGAAAATATGTAACGTTTTTGGCCAACGTGGAAGTTAGTATAAGAGATGTAACAAGAATCATACCCCGCTTTCGGGTTATAGTTGAGTTTTGTTAGGGCACTGTGTCACAAGCACTATTTACTTTGTACAACACCTCCCTGTTAGTTTACCTGCTGAGTTAATAATACATGCAGTTCCCTCCTCCTCCTCCTAGCTCTTTTACACCTGCTTTTGAAAATATTTCGGTATGTTTCAAAAGCCATGATAAATATTTTGAGAACGCAACTCTTTGAGGGACAAAGGACTCTCTCGAAACAAAGAACAAGGCAGTTAAAAGTCCAAACATTTTGAAACTCTTGGTGATAACTTGCGCCCGACCAATATCAAGCTGAACAAATAGCAAGTCGCTGAAACATCACAAGTTAGGTATAACATGAAAAATGAGTCTAGGAGAGGCAAAGCTAAACAAGATAATCTAAAATTTCCAAGTACCCCAAGTGTTTCCTCGCCACTGAGTAGAAAAGTAACGGACGTCTAAATGCTATTAAACTGATTTGGTAAAGTACTAGTTTCGCAGTCAATCTTCGGATCTCGATGGAAAACGAACTTCTATAAACGGGTTGTTTCACTGTTTTTATTCGTGTTTTTTCCTTGTTATCTTTTTCTTATTTTAATGTGGAAAGAATAAAATTTGCTTTTTTTTGGAAACTTTGGATTCAACTTTCTTAACTTAATTTCCGTAAACTTTCCTTGCCTCCTCTTTAAAAACTGGATGAACATTGAATCTTCTGCCTTATATTTCGAAAGGCATGATAAATATTTTGTTGCAATGACATCTTTAGCTATCTTTAGGGGGACAAACATAACGAGAACTGCGCCTAGTTCATGGTAAGCGGAACATATTTCAAATCACTAAACTTCACAACGAAGGAGAGAAATAACTAATCAAGAATTTGGAATTCTTGAAGTCAAATTTGATCAAATCGTCCAGTGAAAGAGAATTTCAGTACATTTCGAGTTCGGGACGCGTCAAAGTCCTTGAGGGTTGGAACTGCTGGCACGTAACATAGGAGAGCTGTTTTGTGTAGACTAGCAGCATTGAGTTATTCTCCCAATGCTTGGAAGCTTTGTAAGCCTTTTAGAAATATACCAGTGAGAAACGAAGAAACTAGCCTTCAACAAAGCACTGTGTTTTTGGCCTGTCGGATGTTCATCTTGACTCGTTAGGCTTAAGAATGTAAAATAAATTTCCACTGTAGAAATGTTTTGCTGTAGACATCGATAACCCTTTACCGAACCTAATCGATAAGAAGCTTGGATGAAGCTGTTGAGACTATCAGGGTAAACCCCATGAGTTGAGGCGAGAACTCAATCAAATTTCCTGCGAGGCCATTATATTACAGAAGAAAACTGATATAGCTTGCCACGTAGAAAGAAATGGCAAGCTGGTGGGAGATGGATTGAAAACTAGGAAAACTAGAACATTTTCCAGAGTGTTTTCGATGCTATGGAAAATTTAAACCAGAATTAATTTCGTTTTTTTCGTTTTTTTTTTTCTTTTTCATTTTTTGGCGAAAGGAAAGAAAGTAGTCTTTTGACGCTGAGGATGTAGTGCGGACCAAAATCAGATATCCCGAGGCAAAAGTCAACATTCTTAAGTTTATTTCCCGAGACTTAACACTTACTATCTCGCGTATTTCTCATCAAACCGAAGTTTATAAGATACTTCAAGGTTTCTAAGTGATTAAAAATTACATTAGCTGGTCATCAAGTTCCAACAAATGTTTGTTCTCTCTCTTTTATGCAAAATGGCAACACAGCTGCGACTTTGCATAAAAATAATCTTCAGTTTAAAAATAACTAAGTCTTTGATGGTGGAAAGCATAACAGAATCTCATAACGGAAACATCAACAAATACTTAAGCTTCGACAGGCTTCTTTGTTACCCTATTTCTAGAGCGAAAGTGTTTTTGTAGTTATATTTGTTCACATTTGTGTAAATGGGAAGTATTTTGTGATTGCCACACACTTAAGTCAAGTCAACACGAGACCAGCAAAGCTGTCCAAATACCATTTTCCCACAAAGGTTTGCCCTCTGCTAAGCCGCAAAATTAAGTAAGGACGTCTCAATTATATATAAGAGGCATTCGTTGTCTCAAAGTTACAGTGTCAACTGCACACATCGCTTGAAGCCACAATGAAGACTCTCGCAGCTCTTCTTCTCATCAGCGCATTTGCAGCCTTTGTCTCTGCTAATGAAGCTGAGTTACATAAGGCCGTGATTGATTTCTTAGACGAACGCCATGACGAGCACATGAAACAGCTTCTAAGAGACCAGGGCTTCCCAGAAGATACTCAGGAGTTGGTTTCCTCCGATAAACCAAAACCACCATTGTGGGCGGTAAGTCGATAATTAACTGAGTGTATTTTTGATCTTTTATCTCTTCTCGTAATGACAATCAGTTTTCCACAACGTCTGCTGGTAATATAATGCATTAAAAAACTGCAAAGTTCTGTTCCATGCTACTAAGTTCATGCTCTGACATTTTCGTGCCGGGGGGGGGGGGG